CCCGGCCTGCACTGAAAAAAAATTCTCGGCGTTTTTACCAAGGTTTGTTGGTACATTTACCATCTCACTTTTTTTTACCAATTATTGGTAATTTTACCAAGCCAGACTGGTAAGCTTACCTAAAAACCGGTATTTTTACTGTTTTTTTCAGGTAAGAATACCACTTTTATTGGTAATCAATTCCCGCTAACTTTGCCATTTTATCTCGGTAATGGATCACTAGACAAGGTGCGAATTGTAGCATTCTGATACATGTTTCTTAACCAAAATTTCACGTAAAACACGATGCTTACCACGAAAATTACCGAAATTCATTCCTTACGAAGATATTAAATGATTCTTGATGCGTAAATTCAAACCAACCGCTTATGAAAACTCAATGTTCCACGTAATTCGCATCGCGCGCTAAACGTTATCATGACAGTATCTGCGATTTAACAATCTGTCAACCTCAATTTTGACGCTTTGGCTCAGCTATAGCAAATTGCTTATAGTTTAAACAACACATGGTGGGAAAGGAACATTGCTCATTTGAGAAAATTGCTGAAAAACGTTGGAGTGCGCGATTTGACTCACGTAGAGCTTTGAGTTTCTTGTGAGCGGGCAGTCCAAATTCCTCGTAACCAATGTGAAATAAAAACGTTAATATCTTCGTCTGGAGTTGGTTTCATTAGTTTTCGTTGTGCGAATCGTGTTCTACGTGAAATTCTGGTTAAGAAACATGTATCAGATTGCTTAAATTCGCACCTTGTCTAGTGGTCCATTCTACCACAGTCAAAAAAAATATTGGTGTTTTTACCAAAGTCCAGTAAAATTACCGAGAAAGTTCAATAATTTTACCGAGATTTCTCGGTAAAATTACCAATTTCATAAATGATAATTTTACCAAGAAAAAACTGGGATCAAATAAAACCCTGAATTTTTGGTAATTTGACCTGTTTCCTAGTAAATACACCGAGATTTTTTTCAGTGTGGCGGTTCACTTCGCGCGGCCAACTTTGCACTCGCGTCGCTCGCGCCCTGTGGAAGCGTGGCTTGATGAGCGAGATCAGAGCGCGAACTGACCGGCCTCTCATCGACGGATAAAGATCGTCAGTGTCAAGGTCCGGTTCCAAAACGGCATCCAGTAGCCGCGGGTTGGGTATCGACCGCACCACAAACACCCAGATCGCCGCGCCAAAATTTCAGCAGCGTCAATGTGACGGAGACGTCACAAACTGGTTCTGCCGTGATAGCGAAGCGAGTGTGTCATTTTCGAAATTTAGCTTCCCTCAAAATTCGTCCAATCTCTTTTCGATAAAAGCACTGAAAAGCTAAAACAGCAAAATTCATCGTAAATGTATCAAAACGAGACATGTGAGAAAGCCGTAAGTGCGCAAAAAATGACGTAGTCTCAGGCAAGACAGCAGTAAGTGACAATATTCCTCCAGAGAGCCAATGAAAACAGTGCTGTCAGGTAAGATGCCGCCCTCTTCTGCCAATCTCTAACCTGAAAATGCGTTTGCTGTACGTCCAAAACGCAACCACGAAAGCACGCAGAAGATAGCACGTACGGCTGTCTTGCCTAACAATAACCTTGCAAAAATGGTATTTGTCATTTTTATACAATTGAAATGAAATCAGTGGATTTTTAATCATCCAAACTACCTCTAGCAGTCTTTCGGACGATTAGTGGCGATTCGACCAAGAACGGAGGCTACCCTCAATAAAATCCGGTCAGAAGCTTCTGAACCTGTTTTTTTTTTCTTCAAAACTTTCATTTTTACACTTAATGCTCTATCCGCTATCACGGCAGGGTTGGTGTGCTCCTATGATAAGGAACACAACAGCGTGCGCAAACATTCCCCACTCTACGAGAGGGTATTGCCTCAGAGTTGCTTCAGTATCCTCTAAGTCCCAGCAATGTAATTAGGGCATGTTGCGGCAACGTTGCTGTAATATTACTCACGATACAGGGAGTAATACTACCTGCGGGATAATAATTTACCTCTTCATCTATCGACCTAGGTAGATGCGAGGTGTGTATCTAACAGGGTGTCTACCCTGGTAAAAATTGGCAGTAGAATCCGTGTTCCAAAATACCATAGACCTACAGCCGACTGTAAGATTTCCAATACCTTCTATAGCCGGCAACACAATTTCTTATAGCCTTTTATAGCCGATTGCGATTAAGCAACAGCCAGGCGATAAAGTGTATGCTAAACGTTACTAATTACGGATGCTAGGACTTAGTAAGTTTTTGGAATACTGATCTCTTTTTGGGCCATAGTACCTATCTTGATTTATTTTGCGAGGGAAGCTCCGTACTTTTGAAGGATGCCTGCCATTCCTAATATGTTGGAGCGCCTTTAATATCGCATGATACTGTGCAATACCTCTGGTGTGAAATAGTTACTTCAAGCGCCGTGGTACGCTGCGGCGCGGCGGGCGGGCAGCCAGCGCGAAACGCGCATTGGCGCCTACAAACCTAACAGGGATACTTCACGCATTGCGCAATGCGTGAAGTTTCCCTGTTAGGTTTGTAGGCGCCAGTGCGCCGCGCCGTCGCTCCGCTTTGTGTTAGGCTCTAATATTTAATCTCCTGGAGTCAGCGTTATTTAACTCATGATTTTGAAATGTTTGCACACTCTGTATGGATTATTCTCATTTTAATTGATGAAAAAAAATATGTAGTAAAGGAAAATATAATGTGCGTTTTGTAAATATTAAAGCGATTCCGTACAAATTTATGGATTTACAAAGCACACGAATTTCTACACAATTTCTTATAGCCTTTTATAATCGATGGCGAAAAAGCAACAGCCAGGCGATAAAGTGTAAAGCCCGGCGATAGGAACTATAGCCCGGCTGTATAATTTTTTATCGCTTCGTATAGCCCGGCCGTATGATTTTTTACACTTTCTACAGCCAGCTATATGATTTTCTATCGCCTTCTTCAGTCGTCTATAACAACTCCTATGGTATTTTGAATCGCAGCTCCTATCGCCAATTTTTACCAAGGTACTGTGCGGAAAAAGTGCGGATACACTAAGAAAGCACGGATTTCGGAAAGTGGGTACGGAAGCACGGAAAAGGTACATTTTTTCCGTGAGGAGGTACGGAAATTCGATATTTTTGTGATGAACTTTAAAAGATAGCCTTGGAGGTGCGCAATTTCCTAACACCACCCGGTTCGATTCCCCGTATTTTTCGGTGTGTTCCTTTGCCATTCCATCATTCAACTCTTCCGATTCCGAGTACATTTAAAAACGATTGTGAGATAAGGAAAAAGTAAGGAAAAGAGCGAGGGTAAAGCAAGGATTTTTGAGAATCGCCGAAAAAGGAATTTTCGGGGAACTAAGGAAAAAGCAAGGAAAATGTATTGAAAAAGCAAGGAATTTTAATGACAGGGCACCAGTAGAAGCCCTGATCCAAGAGACAGCGAATCAGAGCAAATGCCAATAGATTCGGCTCAATGGCGTGGCGTGCTTTGCGATATATCGAATGATCTGCCATTTAAACCTACGGAAAAGTATCGATAAACAGGGTGTTCGCAGCGAACACCTTAATAATCGATTATTTACGACAGCTTCAAATGGGGAAATATCGATAGATCGAAAAGCACGCCACGCCACTGATTCGGCTGTAGCTCCACTGATAGGTGCGGATCCTCCTGCCCTGAGGTACCTACTGAATTTATGAGCAAATTGAATTTTAGAAAAGATAAACTTTTGCATGGAATGACCTAGAGAGCTGATTTTCATTTTAAATAAAATTACAGGAGCTAATTGGCTAGCCTAGGAGAGCGGAAATTAAGAAAAAAAAGTCGAATTTGTTGATTTTGAATTCTTAAGAGAAAAGACTTTTTAGAGACCCCTTAAACAAACGAGCCACGCGCGGTTTTACTTTAATTTTCTCACCACAGCAGGCTGATTGTTGAAATTGATGGGCAAAACTATAGACAAAGAAGACAAAAAGGATATGGAGCAGGGATCCTAATGGTAGAAGCGGGTGGTTGCAATGGTCAAAGGACGCAGGTATTAGACAAACTAACGGCAACCGACAAGAGACCCATTAGTTAGTCCATCATTTTCCCCCTTCGTCTGTAAGAACCACCAGTTTTAACCAATGGTATTGATCCATACTCCCTATGTCTTCTTTGTCTATTGCTTTGTCTATCAATTTCAACAATCAGCCCGCTGAAGGCAATAGGTATATCTGCTCCTCATATGTGTGCATGTCAGAATTCCTAACCTAAATTTATCCTATATAACTTAAGAATTCCTGTTTTGGCACTTCAAGGCATAAGACATCATATCTTCCTCTTAATTTTTGAGCTAAACCTGCATCGAAATTTCCAAATTGTTTTTCCTCCAGGTATTGGTATCAATGACATAATTTTGAATTTTTGGAAGATAACGTCCCCTTTTACAGGGTGGTTTCACGATAACTGGAATAGTTTTGTCGCCGTGACAGACAACACATTTTTCGGTCATATTTTTAGTAGTAATGATAATCACTCGAAATTATTTGCATGAATCTACACAGGGTTACGTATTATAACGCTTTTCAAAGATTTATCACTAAACTTTTCAATTCTAATATATAAATGGCCGAAAATGTGCGGTCTGTTACGCTGAATTTTTACCGCGTAACAGACCGCACATTTTCGGAATTTACTTAATACTAATTGAGAGGTAGAGCAATAAATCATTAGAAAGCGTTATAATACGCGACCCTTTGAAGATTAATGCGCAAAAATTAGAGTGGTTATCATTTCTACTAAAAATATGAGCGGAGAATGAGTTGTCTGTTACGGCGACAAAACTATTCCAGTTATCGTGAAACCACCCTACAGATCCTGTCACAATACACAACTTCGACAGTTTTTGCACAACTATTAAAGCGACGATCTCTCGACTTTTTGGGCGGTGAGGTTTTGAAATTTACTATCGCCTGTGTAAAAATTGGAGCACACCCAAATATGTAAAAAAGTCCATTTTTCATTTTTTCCCCTGCAGATGGCGTTAATATACGTACTGGTTTGTATCTCAATGAACGTGCTCCTGGTTACGGGACAAAAGAAGGACGACAGCGTGCATAATAGGGACAACATTGATGACCTCCTTGCCGAGGTATACGGAACTTCATCAACCGAGAGTTCGCTGGGTCAAGATCATAATGGTCAAGATCATAATATGCCCCAACAAGGTTGCGAGTGCGTCCCCTACTACCAGTGCAACGACAAGAACAACACCTTTAACACGGATGGCGTCGATCTTATTGATATCAGGTCAGACATGCTTTGTTTTATTTCATTTCGTCCACCCTTCCGCCCTTAGGTAACTTAAAGCAGACATAGATACACATCTTTAAGAGCAGCCTGAGACAATGATAACAGTGGAAAAACAAGGATGAAAAAACGGGCAACAAGGCTAAAAATACACAACTCTTTCTCAGACTCTTTCTCTCAGATCCCGGCCACCACCATGTAGAGCTCAGGTTTTTTATCGTTTTTTCTTTTAAATTTTTATTGTTTCCTTCTGAAAATGACTCAGTTTCGAGTCGAGACGTCTCGGGTTTCATTAATTGTGTATTTTTAGCCTTGTTTCCCGTTTTTTAATCCTTGTTTTTTCACTGTTAAAGCAGACATGGGTACTCGCAATGACCCGCCGAAAATGGACGTATAATTTCAATGAGTTATAAAAAAATATTTAAAATTTTTTTTTGCAGTGAGATTAAATTGGCAGGTTTTCACCTCGAAAATTTCTCCAACGCAACGGAGATGGGCGTATACTTTCGCGCCTTTCATATTGCTAGACCAATAAGGAAATCGCGTATCCAGTCCCAGTGGTTTTCCTCATGCATCAATCCCATTTCGTGGGTAGGCCATTTTTTGATTGGCTGACCGCTCCTCAGCGAAATTCGAGCAACCGAGCACCCTATACCCACTTTCATCCAAAGCCACCCTATCCTCCTCTCCCCCGAACAACCCTTAATCGAGGGGTGTCTCATTTTGTGGATGGGTGTAAAATGAAGGAAGAGTGAGCTAAGTAAGCCGTATGGATTGAAACTAATCAGAAGAATTTAGAACTTTTTGTGGGAATGGGGGAGGGGGGATAGAGGGGCTCCTCATCAAAGAGATCTGAGACGTAAGAGACAACCAAGACACCAGGGTCACTTTTTAAAGACATTCCCAGGATAGGCCTTGTTTGGAGGTTGGATGTATGAATACGGTCCAAAGAAAAACTTCAGGGCAATGATGCAACTTGAGAGGGGGCTTGGAGCTTGGGAGGCCATAACACCCTTAATAAATCTACTATTAGCCCTTTAAAAAAAATATTATCTTCGATGAGAAGTACGTTCATATTATTCTCCTAGTGCTGCCATTTCCCGGAATTAATTCCGAATTTCGGAACTTTTCCAATAATCGGAATTTTCCCGGAATCTTCTAAGACCCTGGAATTTTCAGCTATTTTCCAAATTTCCTCGAAATTTGCGGATTTTCGCCAGTTTGACCATTCACTTGATCAAATTTATGGGCTTTTTGATCAAATTTAACGACCTGCGGTACTAAATCCGGGCGTTTCCTCTGTCTATAGATGGCTGTAGATTCCTATCTAAATAATACAAAGGAATAAAAGCCACAAAACTCAAAAAAAAAAAAAAAAAAAAAATCCGGGCGTATTTTGGAGTTTTTCTTGGAACTTTGGCAAATCGGAATATGTTTCCGAAAATCGGAATTATATCGGAATCTTTTGAAAGACTATAAATATACTAGAGTCCCTTTATACTGAGAGTCAAGACAATTCGGCTCATGGATGTCACAAACGGGAATAAAGATTACAGAAATTGAACGTTTTTCGTAATCTTTGATCGGCCCATTCTCAAATGCCTTTCTCCGTTCCTCCTCTCATTCCGTTTGTTCCTTGCCGAACCCGTAATTCCCTGGTCCATTCCAGATTATAATCTTTGCAATTGGTGAAAATGTAATCTTTATTCCCGTTTGTGACACTGTGGAGGCCTAAAATACGGGAACCAATCAGAAATGGATTCAAATGGACCACTAGACAAGGTACGAATTTAAGCATTCTGATACATATTTTTTAACCAAAATTTCACGTAAAACACGATGCGCACAACAAAAATTACCGAAATTAACTCCTTACAATGATATTAAATGATTCCTGATGCGTGAATTCAAACCACCCGCTTATTAAAACTCAATGCTCTACGTGATTCACATCGCGGGCTGAACATTACCATGACAGTCTTTGCGATATAAAAATCTGGCAACCTCAATTTTGACGCTTGCGGGCTCAGCTATAGCAAATTGCTTATAATTTGAACAACACATGGTGGGTTATGAACAGTGATCGATTGAGAGGCTAGCTGAAACTGTTGTGGTGCGCGATTTGACTCACGTAGAGCTTTGAGTTTCTTGTGAGCGGGCAGTTCAAAATCCGCGTAACCAATGTAAAATAAAAAGGTTGATATCTTCATCAGGAGCTGGTTTCAGTAATTTTCGTTGCGCGAATCGTGTTCTACCTGAAATTCTGGTTAAGAAACATGTATCAGATTGCTTGAATTCGTACCTTGTCTAGTGGTCCATTGTCTTGACTCTCAGTATAAAGGGACTCTAAAATATACCTGTAAAATAAAATGTCAGCACTGGCTTTTTCACGATCTCACTTTGCCTACAGGATCAGAGACGGGCCGTGCGTGAGCTACATGGACGTCTGCTGCGCGGAGCGGACGGTGGACCCGGAGCACCCGGACGTCCACCCGGTGACGTCGCCCAAGACCCCGACGCACCCGTACGAGCGGAGCGGCTGCGGGCACCGCAACGAGGAGGGCATCGGGTTCCGGATCACGGGGGCGACCAACAACGAGGCCCAGTTCGGCGAGTTCCCGTGGATGGTGGCCATCCTCAAGGAGGAGCCCTGCAACTGCAACTCCAGCCACATGCTCAACGTCTACCAGTGCGGCGGCTCCCTCATCAGCCCCGCCGTTGTCCTCACCGCCGCCCACTGCGTTCACCAGTGAGTGGGAACCTTTTAACGGAGGACTTGCATCGGTGTTCGAAACTCGCAGGCGCCAACGCGCCTAAAAAATCGGCCATGGCGCCTAAAAAATGCAGGCTCTGCGCCAACGTGGCCCCTAAAAATTGCACTGGAAAAAAAATCTCGGTTTATTTACTGAGAAAAGGGTAAAATTACCAAGAATTCAGGGTTCTATTTGATCCCAGTTTTTTCTTGGTAAAATTACCATTTATGGAATTGGTAATTTTAAGAAGAAATTTCGGTAAAATTATTGAACTTTCTCGGTAATTTTACTGGACCTTGGTAAAAACGCCAATATTTTTTATCAACTGTGGTAGAATTACCGAGATAAAATGGCAAAGTTACCGGGAATTGATTACCAATAAAAGTGGTATTCTTACCTGAAAAAAACAGTAAAAATACCGGTTTTTAGGTAAGCATACCAGTCTGTCTTGTAAAATTACCAATAATTGGTAAAAAAGTGAGATGGTAAAGGTACCAACGGACCTTGGTAAAAACGCCGAGAATTTTTTTTCAGTGTGCCCCTAAAAATCTAGACTTTCATAGGAAGTCACATAAAGAAAGAAAAATAAATCTATTTGAGTTAAGAAAACTCGGAATTTTCAGCACTACAAGTGATAGCTTGCTTTTTCTATTCTTCACGATTTCATTCTTACTGCTTTTGTCTTCCCCAAGTTACAGCTACTTACTAGTTCTGTTACGAACACATTTTGCGTCTAACTTTTCACTAAATGCGCCGTAGTATGTAGGCCTAAAGTTAATTTGGCCCCTAGACAATCTTTAATGGCGCCGAAAAATCGGGCTTGATGCGCCACATGGCTCCTAAAACTCATAGGTGAGTTTTGAACACTGATTTGCATGCAATTTTTATTGCTTCGTCTGAAAGCGTTTAAAGAGCCGATTGCACAGATTTTTTTTAACATTTTTTTCTGATGCGGGAAATAGTATAAAAATAGATTTAAAAGTGAGAGAATGCACCGCCTGGTGACGTCATCTCTGCCGTGCCAAGGAAAAGCGCCGTATGAACATTCGAGAGTTGCCAAATTTCCCTCGGTAAAATGTGAATTTTTAAGAAAAGTTATGAATATTTCTCCTTGAAATTTTCAAGAACTTTATGTGAAGAAAATTATTTGAAAAATCAGAAGGAAAATATTCATAAGTTTACCAGGAAATTCGTATTTTATCAAAGGAAATTTGGCAACGCCTGAAGGTTCATACGGTGTTTTTCCTAAGCACGGCGGATCTGGCGGCATTTCCCATTAACGTATGGGTTCACACGTATTTTAGCAGATTAGATCATTCTGTCATATATCTTCTCCACTAATTGTTAAATTCATGAACCAAGGGTATCTTCGTGTTCAGTTCACTCAGTAGTTTCCACTGAAACACGAAATTCATCCAATTTCAGACACCTGCAAATTCTCTATTCACATCATGCATGCGGCAATGGAGGAGGAGGTCTTGCATTCCACAAGGATATACAATGTAACTCTATAGCATAGCGTTACGAATTCGTAACAACGTACATTTTGTGTTTTTAAAAATTGAATATCTCCTCTGTGCCATGATTTTGCATTTTCATTGGATTTTCCTTCTTTTTTTTGAATGGCTGATTCTCAAAGATTTAAAATTTCGAAACAAAATTTGGGACTCTGTTTCTCATGCAAGTTACGTTACAAAATAGATGAGCGTTTCTCAAAATCTGGGACCCACGATTAATTCCTGTCAAAGAGCGTTAAGATTTTGCGAGAAACTCGAGGGTGCCATTGGTTTTTTTTTTCTTAGACGATCATCTAGGCCAACAAAAAGCTTGTCTTCTTTCTTTCTTTTTTTTGAAAAAAAAAAAAAATTTAAAAATAATAAAGATGCATCATTGATCACACGAGCATATTTTGTGGCCAGACCCAAGTAGCAATTTTCAACAGGGTATTCGAAATTTTTTGGGGTAAACTCAACACTATCATAACATCTCCAGCGCTGAAAATGAAGACTTTTGACGTTGAATCGAATTGAAAACACTCGGTTAGCCTTCGATAGCACGGCTCGGCAACTACACACACGCGGCCATGATCTACATGGTAGATGTAGGTGCAGGTAACGCTGTGTTCATCTCTGGGCACTAAATGTGCTCGTACTATGTATGCCTCCTTTTTCTTAAAAAAGGAAAGGGCGACAACGGTGACGATTTCATTGCCACTGACGTCACTGGCGCTTTATAATAGACTGATTTAGTGGCTACGTCATTCGATATGATATCGAACCATTAGTTCAAATGTAAACAAACGCGGAAGCTTGTTTCTGATTCTTTCACCATGGTGGTAAAATGCGTCCAAGTGTTTCTTGCAATCGAAAGTTCTCGTGTTTAATGAATCTTTAATTGATTAAGGACCGGTCAATGACTAAATTTTAATAATTTAACACAATTATCTCATGAAGAATTTGTACATGAGGTTATGGTAGTTTTTTTTTTTTTGTTTGAACCAAGAGCTCGGTATTATATCGAATGACGTAATCACTAAATCAGTGTATTCGCGTGCATTCTTACAGCCCTCGACTAAAGAGCACCCACTTTCTTTCCCACCTGCACGGAGAAAAAAAACTTCGTGCATGGGACCCGAGGTTGAGGTCATACGGATCTCTGAAGTTTTCCGATCACGCATCCGAAAACTTGAGGTCGAGCTGCCGAAGTTCGGGTCAGAGTGACATCGAGGCACTTCGGCAAGTACCGGAGTATTTCAGATGTGTGCCCTGAACCCTCCGGTATACATCGAAGTACTTCAGATATCTGACCCGAACTTCGGCAGCTGGACTTCAAGTTTTCAGATACGTGATCCGGAAACTTAAGAGATTCATATGACCTCACGCACGAAGTCCCTGGTAAAAATTGGCGATAAGAGCTGTGTTTCAAAATACCATAGAAGTTCTTATAGCCGACTGAAGAAGGCGATAGAAAATCATATAGCTGTCTGTAGAAAGTGGAAAAAATCATACGGCCGGGCTACAAGAGGCGATAAAAAATTGTACAGCCGGGCTATAGTTCCTATCGCCGGGCTTTACACTTAATCGCCTGGCTGTTGCTTTTTAGCCATCGGCTATAAAAGGCTATAAGAAATTGTGTAGAAATTCGTGTGCTTTGTAAATCCTTAAGTTTGCACGGAATCACCTTATTATTTACAAAACGCACATTATATTTTCCATTAGTACTACAATTTTTTGTTTCATCAATTAAAATGAGAATAATCCATACAGAGTGTGCAAACATTTCAAATAAAAGTCATGAGTTGAAAAACGCTGACTGCACGAGATTAAATATTAGAGCCTAACACAAAGTGAAGTGACGGCGCACTGGCGCCTACAAACCTAACAGGGATACTTCACGCATTGCGCAATGCGTGAAGTATCCCAGTTAGGTTTGTAGGCGCCAATGCGCGTTTCGCGCTGGCTGCCCGCCCGCCACGCTGCGCCGCAGCGTACCACGGCGCTTGAAGTAACTATTTCACACTAGAGGTATTGCACAGTATCATACGAAACTGAAAGGCGCTCGAACATATTAGGAATGGCAGGTATCCTTCAAAAGTACGGAGCTTTCCTCGCAAAATAAATCAAGAGAAAAGCCCAAAAAGAGAGCGGTAGTCAAAAAACTCACTAAGTCCTAGCATCCGTAATCAGTAACGTTTAGCATACACTTTATCGCCAGGCTGTTGCTTACTCGCCATCGGCTATAAACGGCTAGGTATAAGAAATTGTGTTGCCGGCTATAGAAGCTACTGGAAGTCTTACAGCCGGCTGTAGGTCTATGGTATTTTGGAACACAGATTTTACTGCCAATTTTTACCAGGGGTATTTTTTCTCTGTGCGTCTCCGGTTCCAATTGGACGTATTTCTACCAAACAGACCTGTGTGCGGGTGAGAAATATGGGGTGTGCTCTAGAAAGCTGCATAAGAAGCAATGTAAAAGTGGGCGTGATTCCTTTTGTAGAATTGGAAAAGCGGGATTTTACATTCTGTCAAACAGACCTATGTGCCAACTGAATGCGGCAGTCATGAGCCGCGGGCATGGCAAGAGAGTCTTGTGGACAGGGCTCATGAGTTAAAGACTCCCTCCAACGATCTCCCCCTCGCTAGAGTGCGCACTTTCATTGCCGCTGACGTCACTGGCGCTTTATTATTACCATTCACTCTTACGCAAAGAGAATTAACTAGCACACCCCATATTTCTCACTTGCATATGGGTCTGTTTGGTAGAAATTCGTCCAATTAGTAGAAATATGTCCACATGTGAATAAGTGTTTCTTTTGACAGGAAACAAGCGGAGTCGCTGAAAATTCGCGCGGGTGAATGGGACACGCAGACGAAGAGTGAACTTTTCCCTCACTACGACCGCCGCGTGCGGAACATAATCCTCCACGAGCAGTACTACGCCGGCGCCCTCCACAACGACGTGGCTCTCCTCATCCTGGACGAGCCCCTCGAGTATAAGGAGAACATCGACGTCACGTGCCTACCCCACCAGGACGAGAGCTTCGACGAGCACGACTGCTTCGCCACCGGCTGGGGCAAAGATGTATTCGGTAAGTCACTCGGATTAAGTTCAAAGACAAGAGACCCTCCACTCGCCTCGTAAGCCCTGGATAGACGATCAAATTCCGAACCAATTCCGATCAAAGTAGACATGCTGATGACTGATGGTCACCATCTACCATCAAATTTTGACGGGCCGCACTTATTTGTTCAAAGTAAGATCAGAGTGGAGTGCCACCATTCATCATTTCCTGCCAGAGGAAACATTTCTGCCAAGTTTTCATTTTAAAATTAAGCAAATTAATGAGTTTAAGACTGATGACTCCCGACACTTTGATCGGAATTGGTTCGGGAATTTGATCGTCTATATACATACACACATATATATATATATATATATATATATATGAGTCGCTTTTATAGCGCTCTTTGGCGCTGTGCGACGCCTAATCGCCACAAAGCTCGGTCTTCCCACAGGTCATCAGGGAGTTGACAATCTCTTATCTCATTTAATACCCCCTGTCGCCAACCTCTCACTGGGCGTCCCCTACGTCTCCTCCCAGGAGGAACCCAATCAAGCATCTTTTTTGGCAGCCTCTCTTCCGTCATCCTATTGACGACATGACCATACCAAACAAGTTGTTTGGTCATGACGTCGAACACGATGTCATTTTCGACTTCCATTATCTGACGCACTCTATCATTACGGACCCGATCTCTCCTAGAAATTCCTGCTGACCTTCTCCAGAAATCCATCTCCGTTGCTCTTAGCATATCCTGTGTCCGTTTCTTCAGCTGCCAAACTTCACATCCGTATGTTAATATACTTTTGACTACAGCGTTGTATATCCTCCTCTTGTTATCTTTGGAAATCCGCTGATCCCAGAGATCGTCGTGAATCGGGTGATCTCGAAACTCTGTTTACTCTGTGCTTTGCTGATGACCAGGTGGTGGTTGCTCAAGATCAAGATGACGCGGAATACATGATGCGCAAGTTAGTAGAGGAGTATCGGAAGTGGGGTCTAGAAGTCAGCCAAATCTGAGAAGATGACTTTTGGCGGTGATCAGCAAAGCATTGAGTTGGAGGATGGGCAGCAGATCAAAGGCTGCGAGCACTTTAAGTACTTGGGAGTGCGGTTGACCCAGGATGGAAGGACGGATCAAGCTATCAGGGAAAGGAACACCTTAGCAAGGAAGGCTATAGCGATGTTAAACGAATCGAACGAACGTCTCGACGAATTTGATCGTCTTTCAGGGCTTAAAGCCCTGCATAGACGATCAAATTCCCGAACCAATTCCAATCAAAGTAGCATCAAAGTGTCGGGAGTCATCAGTCTCAAACTCATTAATTTGCTTCATTTATACATGAAAACTTGGCAGAAATGTTTCCTGTGGCAGGAAATGATGAATGGTGTTACTCCGGTCTGATCTTACTTTGAGCAAAAATGTGCGGCCCGTCCAAATTTGATGGTAGATGGTGACTACCAGTCATCAGCATGTCTACTTTGATCGGAATTGGTTCGGAATTTGATCGTCTATGCAGGGCCATTTGTTCAAAGTAAGATCAGAATGGAGTGGCACCACTCATCATTTCCTGCCAGAGGAAACATTTCTGCCAAGTTTTCATTTAAAAATGAAGCAAATTAATGAGTTTAAGACTGATGACTCCCGACACTTTGATGCTACTTTGATCGGAATTGGTTCGGGAATTTGATCGTCTATCCAGGGCTTTAGCGACAGGTAAAAGCTTTTACTTTCGGGGACTCAACAATTCCGTATGGACAATTATAAAGGAGCAACGATCCGGTAATCCAGAATTGCGTGAAAGGTCTAAGAAAATATTTAAGGATTAAGCGAATAGAAACCTTAACGTCTGCTACAGGAATGCGCGAATTTTAAAATGAAGTTAATTTAAGGTAGAAGTTTGGCAAAGCAGGAAACAATTGGAATATAAAAGCATTATTATGTTACGCTAGTTTAGGTTAGTTTGTTGACAAATCATCAATGTCTTACCCTCTGATGATAAATGAAGTGATATGATTGAATATTGGTCGATGGTGTACAGAACTTCCCTAACTTTTCTCGAAAACAAATATTTAATCGGGAGAAACGAGGCAACGTTGAAATGCTTATGCAGCGTCAAAATAAAACATGGACCTTTTAAGTTCTATTAGTCGATGCCACGATTATTGTAACGGGAGATCGAATATTCTCGCCGACCAGTGGAGCTGGCGATAAATATATTAGCGCCTGCAAGACTGTAGGAATACCTCACGCATTGCGCCGAACAGTGCGGTCGGCGTCAGCCCATATCAGCGCCTACAAGACTGTATGAATACTTCTCGCATTGCGCCAAACGCAGTGCAGTCGGTAAGTATGCCTGAAACGCATATTAGCGCCTACAAGAATGTATAGGAATGCTGTTGGACTGAGAATCATCATTTTTGACTTTCTGCTCAAGTTTTTACCATAATTAAGAGAAAATATGCATCCTCATTGTAATGATTCAAAAATTCAGATGATATTTAATTTTGTTTTGATTACATTGAAAGAAAATAGAACGAACGAAAACATCACGTTGAAATTTTCGATACTCTTACTTGAGATCATTCAGGGAAATTTGCGGAAACTTTTCAGAAAAACTGTGGGTAGCTTTTTAAAAACATATGTTAGAAACAATACATGAACGTGGTGCATAGCGTTGCAATCCGAGATAAATATCGACGGTGAAACTACCAAACCACGTATCTCGGTTTGCGACGTCGCAGACTTCCTGTCATACTTTATTTTTTAAATGAAAAACTACTTAACATCCAGTCTTGAAAATTTCTGTGATTTTTTCTCTGTGTGCGGAGAAAATTCCGTGAAAATTTCAAGGAATGATATTGATTTGGTCTACTTCAAAAAAATAAAATGTGAGCGTAGATTTTTAAACACCGCAAACGAGATACGTGGTTTGGTAGTTTCACCGTCGATATACGCTTTCTTTCGGGTGCACCCGTCGGGTTTTGAATCCATTCATCTCTTAAAAAACTTAAACATGGCTGTTCTACGGCTTTTGACGTGTAGTTTTTTTCAGTGGTTGGCGGCCAGAAGCCCCTAATTCACTTTTTAAATGTCTGCGAAAGCTCTCTGGGCCATTCGTGTTGCGAGGGCTATCCATCGAAGAGAGACATACCCGTAAGTGAGGAGGGAATGAACAGTCTTCTGCGATGTAGTTATCTACCACGAACTACCAAGGTTGCCAGATTAACACCTCCTCGTTGAATATTGAATATTCGCGCAAACATGTGAGTTTTCAGTACTAAAGAAATTCGCGCAATCCTATGCATATCCAATAAGGTAAAAGAGGGGGCATTCGCGAAATTCTATCGCAGCCGCAACGATCACACCTCTTATTTCGGCTGTTGACCTACCTACATGCTGGGTGACGAGCTTCGGGTGACGTCATGAGCCAAACAAGTTCCCCAAACTTCGGCTCGTTTGCTAAACGAAACCGCCAACACGTTGTTCACTATCAACCAAATAGGTGGGTCACCATTGCCGAGGTACTATAGTGGAGGGTCTCTTGTCTCCGGTTAAGTACCTATTCTTCTAGACCGAGTGAATCACTTATACGCATAGGGAGACTAATGGCACATACGTTGTTTTAAAACCGGGCTAGAATTAATAGTTCCAAATTGCAAAATGTAGTCCAAATCATCCATCACCAATTCACTACTTTCATGTTTTTCAGGCAAAGAGGGAAAATACCAGGTGATCTTGAAGAAGGTGCAGCTACCAACAGTGCACCGAACCCAGTGCCAAGCAGCTCTGAGAGAAACGAGACTTGGAGCACACTTTAAACTTCATGAAAGTTTTATCTGCGCCGGAGGAGAGCGAGGAAAAGACACTTGCAAGGTATGCTTCTTTTTTGAACAGTCATTCAAGATCGAGTTTCCTAAACTTAGGTGCCGTTGCGTGGTTTGGCTATACGAATTTACTCTCGGGACGTTTCAAAACTGTCTGTAATACCTGCATTCTGAGAACAGAGATTTAAGGTGATTCGATGGACGCCATATTTTGTGTCAGAGCGGCATGCGATATATCGCATCGATTGGTTCCATTTTTTCAGCTACTCGTAATTTTTCTCCAATTTTGAGATCGCAATTCTGTTGGCAGGAGACTAAAGCACTGACTTACCAATTTTAACAAAGAAATTCAACGTAATAAAGGCGTGGTTTTTTTAGAGAGAAAATATCGCATTCGAGTGCAGTTTCGATATCAGTATCGAATGCGATGTTTTCTCTCTGAAAAAACCACGCCTTTATTACGTTGAATTTCTTTGTTAAAATTGGTGAGTGAGTGCTTTAGTCTCCTGACAACAGAATTGCGATCTCAAAATTGGAGGAAAATGACGAGTAGCTGAACAAATGGAACCAATCGATGCGATAAATCGCATGCCGTTCTGACACAAAATATGGCGTCCATCGAATGACCTTAAGGTCTCAATCTCCCATATTCACAATGAAAACCAGGTCGACGCTGAAACTCCCAAACTACCTACGCATCTCCTTTTCGGTGTTTGAAAATCTCTCCCCCCCCCCCCNCCCCCCCCCCCCCCCCCACGTAAGTCACTCCTTTAAGTGAGATCAAATCGACGTCATTACTTGAAGTTTTCGCAGAATTTTCTTCGCTCAGAGAAAAAAAGTCGTAGCAGTTTTTGAGAATTGCCGTTGCGAAGTTTTCCAATTAAGAAAAAAGGCATGACAGGAAGTCTGCAACATCGCAACCCGAGAAATACCCACGTGATTTGAAAGTTTCACCGTCGACATGTATGGGAACACTGAAAAAAAAATCTCGGTGTACTTACTAAGAAAATGGTAAAATTACCAAGAATTCAGGGTTCTATTTGGTCCTAGTTTTTTCTTGGTAAAATTACCATTTATGGAACTGGTAATTTTACCGAGAAATCTCGGTAAAATTATTGAACTTTCTCGGTAATTTTACTGGGCCTTGGTAAAAACGCCAATATTTTTTATCAACTGTGGTAGAATTACCGAGATAAAATGGCAAAGTTATCGGGAATTGATTACCAATACAAGTGGTATTCTTACCTGAAAAAACAGTAAAAATACCGGTTTTTAGGTAAGCTCACCAGTCTGTCTTGGTAAAATTACCAATAATTGGTAAAAAAGTGAGATGGTAAAGGTACCAACGGACCTTGGTAAAAACGCCGAGAATTTTTTTTCAGTGAACTCACGAGGGAAGGGAGCTGTTAAAGGAGCGACTAATTGTGAGAGCACTGCCTCAAGTATAGACGCCGCAAGAGAATTCGAATGTTGCTAAATTTCCTCTCAGTAAATATTTATTTTTGAGGAAAGTTAAGAATATATTTCATCGAAATTTTCGGACTTTTAAGAGTAGATTAGGAGAGTAAAGCCTTAAAAAATCGGAAGAGAATTATTCGGAATTTCCCTGAAAATTCGTTATTTTGCAAAGGTTTGGGAACGTCTCACAGTGGACAGGGCCGAACTTAGGGGGTGGCCACATGGGCCGCGGCCCATGGCGGCAAATATTGTAACTTTTTCAAATGTAGGTATCAAGAGAAAATCTGAGTCAGAAAAACAATTACAAACGAGAAAAGGCGAAAAAAATCTTTCATTTCCTGAGAGTTCAAGTATAGTAATTTCTAATTCGTTCGTCTTTCGGTGATACAAGAAACAGCGCCTTTCATTAGTCTAGTTGATAGAGAAACCAAACACGTAATTTGGCCTGGAGTGGCGCGGCGCAGAGAGCAATGATGATGCGGACTTGAGATGGAAAGGAGAAGCCCTCGGCGCGCCGGTCAGCATGAAACACATTTTAGCGCCTTCTAGACTCCATGAATACTTCACGCATTGCGTTCAACGTAGTGCGGTCAGTCTAGGCGTGAAAACTCGCGGTGCCTACAAGACTGCATGGATACTTTACGCATTGCGTCAAATGTAGTGCGGTCAGCTGCGGTCGGCGTGAAACGCATAGCGCCAAACACAGTAGTGCGGTTAGCGCGGTGGCGGGAATTAAAATCATTCGACCACATTCATGTTTATTCTTTCATAATTTTTTCGTTCTTTTCTTATAAAAGAAAAGCCTCGTCCACACAGAGATATGTTTACGGAACTTAATTTACGCGCAAAGCACTTTTGCTAGTGTTGACAGAGCTTTCACGAAAAATGTGCCCCACACGAGCAAACGCGTCTTATGCACCCCCCCCCTCCTTCCGCAAGTTCACTCGATGGTTCCCTGCTAAAAATGATGAGTAGGCTATTCAGAATTCGCCGACTCACATGAGTAGAATTTCCTACTTATATGAGTAGAAATCCTACTCATATCACTAGAATATCGACGGTGAAACTACCAAACCACGTATCTCGGTTTGCGACGTCGCAGACTTCCTGTCATACTTTATTTTTTAAATGAAAAACTACTTTACGTCCAGTCTTAAACATTCCTGTGATTTTTCCTCTTCGTGCGGAGAAAATTCTGTGAAAATTTCAAGGAATGATATTGATTTGGTCTACTTCAAAAAAATAAAATGTGAGCGTAGATTTTTAAACACCGCAAACGAGATACGTGGTTTGGTAGTTTCACCGTCGATAATCTACTCCTAAGAGTAGAAAAGTTCAACTCATGTGAATTCAATTTTTTTCATTTATCAGAAGTGGTGTTTTTGACCAGGACACACCGACAATACATGTAACTTTTGCCGCAATCAGACGCTGAATTTAGCACCCGAATGTGGAAGTCAACAGTCATCGCCCAACGGCTGAAATTTAGCAAATTCGAGTTATTTTCATCCAGATGTGTATCAAATCTACTCGAATAGTTCAGACAAATTCAAAATTGGTCCGATGGTTGCTGAGAATCGTTGCTGAATTTTGTTTGCGCGTCACGCGCAAAATTCAGGCATCGGGCCGATGACTTCCACATTCAAGCCACATTCAGCTCCCACATTCAGCGTGTGATTGCGGTGTTTGAAAAATAAGAACATTTTGTTCTAGTAATTTTTTTGACGCGGTGACTAGTTTCTGAGATATTGGACACGGTAGATTCAACGCTGAACTCATGTGAGTTGAAAGATCTAGTCATATGAGTTGGAATCCCTAGTCATATGAGTCGGCGAAAAGTGAATAGAGAAATTCTGCTCATATGAGTTAAATTCTATCCATTTAAGTTGAAGTTCTATTCACATGAGTTGAAATTCTATTCATATGAATTGAAATTCTATTCATATGACTTTGATTTTCTACTCATTTGTACTCACCATTTTTAGCAGGGTTTGTATCGATGTTTCAAAATGAATGAGAAGGGGCGGCAAAATACGGGCGGTCAATGGGCGGCAAGAAGGTAAATCCAGCCCTGACAGTGGATCGAGTCAATCAGAGAGGTTGGACATGAAATTTTTGACTAAAATGGACCACTAGACAAGGTACAAATTTCAGCATTCTGATACATGTTTCTCAACCAAAATTTCACGTAGAACACGATACGCACAACGAAAATTACCAAAATCAACTCCTGACGAAGATATATAATGATTCTTGATGCGTGAATTCAAACCACCCGCTCATGAAAACTCAATACTCTACGTGATTCACATCGCGCGCTAAATGTTTATCATGACAGTCTCTGCGATGTAAAAATCTTCAACTTCAATCTTGACACTTTGGCTCAGCTATAGCAAATTACCAATAGTTTGAACAACACATGGTGGAAAATGAACATTGCTCGATTGAGAAGCTTGCTGAAACCGTTGTAGTGCGCGATTTGACTCACGTAGAGGTTTGAGTTTCTTGTGAGGGGGCAGTTCAAATTCCTCGTAATCAGTGCGAAATAAAAACGTTAATATCTTCGTTAGAAGTTGATTTCGGTAATTTTCGTAGTGTGAATCGTGTTCTACGTGAAATTCTGGTTAAGAAACATGTATCAGATTGCTTAAATTCGTACCTTGTCTAGTGGTCCATTGCAAAGTTTGACGTTTATCTCCTTACATTTTAAAACTCAAGAGGTGCTCAGAGCATAAACTTTCACGAGGAAACCAATAGAACCACTTTTGGAACCTCAACATGTTGTACCAACAGAGTTATAAGCGTTTAAAGTTTTCAATTTTTGTCCGACCTCTCCTATTGACTCAATCCACTATGCGTATGGTGGCTTTTGCAGTGGCGTGGCGTGAATGATCGATTATCGATATTTCTCCATTTGCAGCTATGGTAAAGAATCGATTATTAAGGTGTTCGCTGCGAACACCCTGTTTATCGATCCTTCTCCATAGGTTTAAATGTCTTAACAATCGATATATCGCAATTCACGCCACGCCACTGTACGGCGTTCTTCCCTCGCAGAGTATGCGACCTCGGAGTGCTGAACGGAAGAAACAATGGAACGCCTTCAATCTTTCGCTTATGCAACACAGATAACTCCGGAGCAGAAATAGTTATCTGCACCTAAATTATACCACGAAGAGGAGACTTGTAGAGTGAAGCTTTGAGGGATTTTCCTGCCCGGAAAACTAACAGTAGACACTACTTTCGGGAGCGGGCCATCGAAGCCCGTTGAGGCGAGCTCCGGTAGCCGGCCCTAAAAGAGACAAAAGAAGGGAAAACTAGGTGATTGAAGTGGTCATCTGGCCTGCTAGCCGCTCCAAGTCACTCACACAGGAAAAAACAAGGAGAACTACCATCCCAAAAGGATAGCTTTCCAAAAAATACTCACATCTCACGGAGAAACCACGCAAACCCGACGCGAAGAAGTTGAAGAGAAGGTCTCGATACAGGATCAAATTACCGAACCAATTACCATCAAAGTGTCGGGAGTCATCAGTCTTAAAATCATTACTTGGCTTAATTTTAAAATGAAAACTTGGCAGAAATGTTTCATGCGGCAGGAAAAGATATTCATATTTTCCTGCATTCCAGGTGGCATTCCATTCTCATTCTGATCAAAATTTGAAGGCCCGTCCAATTTCAAACGTTGCATTGTAAACGTTGCATGGTGACCATCAGTCATCAACTGGACGTATTTCTGCCAAACGGAACTGAGCGCCCATTTGAGTTCCTTTCGAGGAATTTAGAATCCCGGATAGCGCGTTCTGTCAAACGGAACTAAGCGCCATGGAAAAGCATTGCTAGTATAGGAACAAATGAGCCCGACGCCCGGTTCCGCCGCCAATCCAAGCCCCTCTCTACCTTCCTCACCCTAGAGTACCTGTATAGCGAGAGTATAGACAGATGTGAAACTCCGAAAATCCATCAGGCCTTCACCGATGTCTCCGCGAATAAAGTTAGGGCCCAGAAATGCAGCCAACCTATGAATCTCAATTATCCAGAGCGCTTTACTAATACAATTGTTACGAACCATCGTTTATAAAGCACGCATTTGACTTACTTGTTGCACAAATTTACTCATTTTTGCGGAAGAAGGCTCATTTATGTACATTCTTAGCCATCTTGGTTAGAATTGGAATGTGCAGACTGGCAGTGAAATTTTGTGCGTTAGAAGTTGGTTAGAAGGGTGGCTGCACTTTTGGGCCCTAAGCCCTCCATGAAGCGATCTGTCCATACTCTCGCTATATAGGTACTCTACCTCACCCTATATATGGCGGTTAGGTCCGTTTGACAGAAATACGTCCAACACTGGCCTACTTTGATCAGAATTTGATCGTGTATCGAGACCAAGAGAAGATCGAACAGAGGGGGGGGGGCGATTGGAAGTTACGGCCTCCTCCACCAGGGTATACTGAGAGTCAAGACAATTTGAATGCATTTCTGATTGGTTCCCGTATTTTAGGCCTCCGCAGTGTCACAAACGGGAATAAAGATTACATTTTCACCAATTGCAAAGATTATAATCTGGAATGGACCAGGGAATTACGAGTTCGGCAAGGAACAAACGGAATGAGAGGAGGAACGGAGAAAGGCATTTGAGAATGGGCCGATCAAAGATTACGAAAAACGTTCAATTTCTGTAATCTTTATTCCCGTTTGTGACATCCATGAGCCGAATTGTCTTGACTCTCAGCATAAAGGGACTCTACACCAGGGTGTGGAGGATGTCGTAACCTCCAATCAGAGTGTCTCGTCTCCGCCAGAAGCGGGAAATTTGGTTCGGCGGTCACACTGAAAAAAAAAATTGATAAAATGCGGTGATGCTAAATGCGTGTTCTCAATCTATTTTGATGAGTTGTCGCCTTTTTTCACTATTTCATGTGTTGATTTTAGCAGTTTTTTTTTCGGTGCAGCTAACACTACAGCTTTATTTTTCCTTGTTTTAGGGAGACGGTGGTAGCCCTCTGGTGTGCCCGATCCGGTCCCGGCCGGGGTACTACGCGCAAGCCGGAATCGTTGCTTGGGGCATCGGCTGCGGCGAGGACGGCACTCCTGGCGTCTACGTCAACGTCGCCAAATTCCGAAACTGGATCGATAACAAAATCGAACAGCACCACTTGGACACCTCCGCGTACTCTTACTCGTAACATCCTCACAAACAAGAAGGGGTATAATCCCAAACAACGACATCAACGTCGAAAATGAACGAAAATTGGACCGAGTTTAACAGAAAGGAACCAAGCCACATCAGCGATTGCCAAGTTTAAGTGGGCAATTATATTTTTTACGAGAGAACGGTTGTTCGGATTCCTTTGAACATTTTAAGGAATTTGTTTCGCACCACGGAGAATTTTCACTGAAATTTGCCCGAAAATCCACACAACCGTTTTCATGTAAAAAATTAAATTGCCCAATTAAATTTGGCAATAGCTGATGTGGCTTGGTTCCTTTCTGTTTAACGCGGTCCAATTAGGGTCTGTCCTGGTCAGAGACATGAAACCCTCCACTGGCCTCTTGTCGACAGGCAGAAGCTTTTCCTTTCGGGGATTCAACACTTCCTCATGGACAATTAAAAGGGAGCAACAGATATCACTCTTTTTTCGGCTGCTGATCTATCTACACGGTGGATGATGAGCTTAGGGTGACGTTATGAGCCAAACAAGTTTCCCAAACTTTGGTTCGTTTGCAAAACGGAACTGCCAACCGTAGTTCACAATCAACCAAGTAGATAGGTCAACAGTTGAACGCTGAAGTCCTGAAAGTAAAAGCTTCCATCATTGCCACGATACTAGTGGAGGGTCTCAGGTCTCTGGTCCTGGTAAGAATTGGCCATGGGAGCTGCGTCTCAAAATACCATAGGAGTACTTACAGCCGGCTATAGAAAGCAATAGAAAAGTTTATAGCAGGCTAAAGAAAGCGAAAAAAGTCATACAACCGGACTGTGCGAAGCGATGAACAATTATACAGCCAGGCTAGAGTTCCTATCGTCTGGCTGTAGCTTTATCGCCATCGACTATAATTATAGCTTAAGCTTCTATCGCCGGCTGGCGGTCTATGGTACTTTGAAACATAGATCCTGTAGCCGATTTTTACCGAGGTAGAGGTACCCTGCCGTACTGAGGATAAATGCCGAAAGGAGCGTTTGAATGTTATAATTTTTTTTTTTTTTTATGATTGATGATTACCTGGAAATTTATTTTTGGAAGACGATACAATATTATTATTAGGACTGCATTTTGCAATTCGGAACTATAAATTCTGGCCCGACTTAAAAACCACGTATGTGCCAATAGTTTCCCTATGCACTAAAGTGTTTTTTTCAAATGAGCCAGAATTTATGGTTCCAAACTGCAAAATGCAGTCCATTTGAAACTGTTAAACACATCAGGTTGGATTTGACCGATTTAACCAAAATCAACCTAACTACACTCCACAATCCACGCTGCCTAATGGACCTGTTGCAAGGTGCGGGGATTTGCGAATTAATAACTAATTCCAATGGCAAACACGAAAAGAACGATGGCACTATTAAAAAATCTTTAAATCATCTCCTAAACACAGAAAAAGCTGTTTTAGGAACCGAACCAATCAAAGGTCACTTTTATGCAGGAGCGGATCCGGTACACCCGAGGCGTCACAGTACATGACAAACCTGAAACCTGGTCTCTTCATCAAGCGGTTACTGCCAATTCCTCATGGAGAAATACATTAGTAACGATGAAGAGACAGAGACCAGGTTTGTCATGTCCTGTGACGTCACAAAAGTACCGGATCCGTTCCCGCGTAAAAGTGGCAGTATTGAAAATCCGAATTTTAGGGCGTTTATAGGTTGATTTATTGGGGGTCCTCGGTGGTCAAAAAACTCCAAGAGAATTCCTGTGATATCTCTGGATCCTTAGTTCTTTTGATACAAACAATAGAAAAATATGTTTGACAGGCCTGTTCCCTTTCTAGGTTTGGTTTTTTTTAACACAGAACCAAATGATTTTTTTAATTGATAATTAATTTTTATTGGGAGACGCTTGAAGAAACGTCCAAATGCTCACAAGGCGTCCTTTCTTAGCACGACATCAACTGCAAGAAGAATTGAGACTGTTGAAGTAAATCTGCCCACTGAAAGATACACAAACTTTGAGATTTTGGAAAAATTTTTTGCTGATAAAAGTTCGCTTATAATTAATGTAAATTTGGATTTTTACTGGTTCAACTGATTTTCCTGTCTTGGAAGAATACATTCAAGATGACTGCCATAAAACGTCTCTTCCAAGAAGTCAGAAGTGTTAAAAAAAGAAAGAGGATGCATTACAGTAATCCAAAAATTTTGACTGTGCCATTCTTAAAATTTAGAGTGAATTGAGAAATTTACTCTTGATCAGTTCTCTACCTATTGAAATTAAGATACAATACAATGATGTTTATTTATAATAAATCCTTCAAAATCATTTACAATGTGAGTCCTAATTTTCCCCACTCATTAGCAGCATCATATGCTAATAGTTAGTCTGACAAATCTATCACCTATCTTCAGGATTCTTCAGAAGATCCTATGAGACAAAATATAGAATGAGATGCAAGGAAAAAAGTAGCCAGTTTTGTTCAGCTACAAAATTTATCATCAAACATTAGGTCAGCATGGGGATCTTACAACACATTAATTGTGTAAACAGTTTTTTCATAGTCCTTCAGAACTAGTTCAGTTCTTATAGGAGTTTAATAATTAGTCTGCTCGAGTCATATTTTTTGTAAATTTGAAACTATGCTATCAGGCTTTTAATTCTAGGATTGAGAAGAGAAAGAATGAACAAATTAAACATTTATTTATAAAAATAACACATAAAATATTTATGAACTGTAAAAAACGCAACTAATAATTGAATGGGTGATATAAAAGAATGAGTACAGTGATTAAGCAATTAAATATATGAGTTGAGAGGGATGATAGGCATATTACAGGCAGTGTCAGCGCATTACCTAAGTACCTATAAGACTTTATTTTACAGAAGCTTGTGATATCATGAATAAAATACTTTCATTTGATGAAAACTTTATAAAAAAAGTAGATTTAATTAGATGGAATGCAAAACAGCCCTGTTAAACAAGGGGTGAAAGGCTGACATTGCAATTTGAGGACTCACTTATTGGTAGGGTAGGTATCACATTCACATAGTATTTTTCAATTCCAGTCATTGCTCCATTTTTTCAAAACCAAAAGCATCGAGTTCACACACTTTGGGGATAATTTCTGATCATTTGTAGCATTCCCATCATTTGACTCAACAAGTTTGTACAGCTCTTCCATAATTGGATCTAATGCCTGTGAAAAAAAAGGAAGAAAAATGAAAAATCAAAATTTTAAAGTATTGGGTACCAGCCACATCATTTTGCTGCATTCTGAACGAATACCAAGCAATTTTTAGCTACTGATATCATTCATAATTATAGTGACACAGTTTAAAAGGTAACAGATTAAGTTCCTATAAAGCACTTACAGAAGATTTGTAAGCAATTTTTTATAATTGAAATAAGTAGAAAAATATGTAAAGCCAAAAGGTAAAGGCCAGTTGCTGTCTAATGGACTGTAAAATAGAGGAGCTCACTTAACTACCCGAGTAGCCTTGAGCTGGACTCAGGGCTGACTGGAGAGCATTTTCCATCAATCAGCAGTTGGAAATTCGGAAAATGATCGAAGGTAGGTGTGGTAACATCACTGGCCCAAAAATTCTCATTAATGTATGCCCAGTCGCCCAAGTTCAGACCTCATGCTATCTAAATCCATGATATACAGGCAGTGTCCCTGCGTTATTCTGACTTCATATTCAAGCATTTTAGTAACATATATTACCTAGGCTTCTTGCCTAGAAATTCATTGTTGCTGGCTGTAACATTCATCATATGACTGACACATGGGGTTTACGCAAGCCAATTTCAAGGCGAGTTGTGTGCAATTCTTCAGCTTCTAGAGGATTATCACTTATTCTTGCCACTGACATAGAATAATGGCTATCGGAAGGGCAGCAGTCGGCCATCTTTGCTCTAGAGTACCTGTATAGCGAGAGTATAGACAGATGTGAAACTCCGAAAATCCATCAGGCCTTCACCGATGCCTCCGCGAATAAAGTTAGGGCCCATAATAGCAGCCAACCTATGAATTTCAATTATCCAGAGCGATTTATTAATACAACTGTTACGAACCATCGTTTATCAAGCACGTATTTGACTTAGTTTTTGCATAAATTTACTCATTTTTGTGGAAGAACGCTCATTTATGTACTTTCTTAGCCATCTTCGTTAGAATTGGAATCAACAGACTGGCAGTGAAATTTTGTGCGTTAGAAGTTGGTTAGAAGGGTGGCTGCACTTTTGGGCCCTAAGCACTCCATGAAGCGATCTGTCCACACTCTCGCTATACAGGTACTCTACTTTGCTCCAATTCTTGAAATCTCCGTGACCCCTGCTCAGCCTACCATTCCAAATTTTGCTGGGAAGTAGAGCAAAGTCTGCTTCGAAAAAGTGACTATACGCAATCTTACGGGAGGATCTGCCAGTTACCTTTCTGTTAGCTATTATTCTATGCCTCTGATTATTTAATGTTGAACTTGGTGAAGTGATCTGCCAAAGTCCCTGGTCTTTCAATTTCCATCACTCTTTAATTTGATTGCCTGTGACTCATTAATTAAATTTTTCTAGACAGCTTGTAATTTGACCGAGTTTAGCAGGAAGGAGCAAAGCCAGACAAAAGAAGAGATGGGCACAGAGCTATCTTTCATCGCCAGAAGATCACTGAATCCTTAGAGTAAAGGCTGGACAAACAGGAACAGTACGTTCCTAGTAAAAAATGTAGGGGATGAAGAGCAAGAACAAAGCCACTTCCAATGGGAACCAAAAAACAGAGGAGAAAACTAAGTTTTAATACTTTCACACTCACAATATTTTTTCTTGACTTCGAATTTTTGATAAAGAGAAAGTAAAACTTGTTGCGTTCAAAACTACTCCTCACTTAATTTTGTTCCAAAATGAGGCTTGATTCTGTATTTTTTATTAATTTGTTCCATTTCTTATGCAGATGGCGTAAGATTAATTGTTACCAGTTACTATGCCTTACTTTCAAATTAGTTTAGAACTGAGCTGTTTAATAATTTTTTACTGCACTGGCATTTTTGCGTGGGATGAAGAGGGAGAAAAGTAAAGAAGAAATGGACCACTAGACTAGGTGCGAATTTAAGCATTATGATTTATGTTCGTTCATCAAACTCAATCTTGGAATACAAATTAAGCAACAAAAATAATTGAGAGTAACTCTTTGCCAAAATATTAACATTTCCCGATTCATTAATTCAAACTTTCCACTCATGAAAAGAACCATTATCTACTGAAGTTAAATCGCACACTAAACAAAAACATTCTCTGTGGTATGAAAATATGGCAACCTCTATCTCAGTGTTACTGTTCAGCTATTGTACATTGTTTACTCTTTGAACAACACAGGGTGAGAGAGGTACACTGCCATTATCGTTGTAGGGCACTATTTGATTCAAGTAGGCTCCGGATTTTCTTGTGAGCGGAAAAATAAAACATTTTTTGTTCCCTAGGCTGTATAAAAATGTTGATAACTATTTTAGGAGTTTACTTTGGTAGGTAATTCTCTCTGCTTGAATCATGTTCAATGTGAAACTCTTAAAATAAAACATACGATAAATGCTTAAATTTGTAGGAGCCTTGTATGGTGATCCATTGTAACGCAAATAAGAGCCCTTTTTCAAAACGCTGAATGAGGCCAGCACCCCTTTCCCTATAAAAATCATTGATTTATTGCCGACTTATAGCCAAAAATATTTTTATCCCTACGAACTCTTGCAATCATTAAAGTATGAATTTTTGGTAACCTCCTTCTCTTCCTTCAACGAGTCTTTAAAAAATAGCTGGTAAAGAATCTGTTTATTTAAGGTACTTTCCAGTAATTTTAAAAAAATTCAGCACCCCTCATCAGAAAAATCTAGTACTTTTTCAGTGCCTTTGTTATGTAACAAAATTACAAAAATTACAAAATTCACGGGCAAATCGGAACAAAAAATATGAAGCCACGGAATTAGAAGCTCATTGTTGGCCAAAACATCAACTAGCTGCACAATGCAATCTGATGGATAAATCTTGCTTTAACAATCAATACGCGAGGGATCACACACTTTCCAAACTATCTAAAAAGACCTGTACGGAATGCAGGGGCACCATTTCAGGTTATTGCAGGGCTGGGCACGGAAGAGACAAGGTCTTTTTTTTTTTTTCCTGCTCAGCTTTTCACTTCGGTAATGGCAAATGCGCATCTTCCAAACTCCCCCTCCCCACAATTTTCCTGCCTCTTTTCCCCTTTTCCGTCGTGTGGAGCAATTTTCCCTTCCTGACTCCAAAGTGCAGGGCCTTTTGCTTCATTCTATCAGAATGACGCGAAAATTTCCGGGTCTTTTGGCGGAATTTGCGTACTTTTCAGGTACTTCCAAGCCACTTTCAGAAAAACAGTACTATTTTTGGACTTTCGGGACCAGCAGACATCCTGGTGCTACACTGTGAAGCTGATTCCTTCAATTCCTTTTTTGATACATTAACTCTTCGCAGCTAGACTTCATAGGGTACATACTACAAAGAGAGTAAAGCAGGATTAAGTAGATACTTCCTTACTTACATATTCTGGCTTATTATATCTTGAGGTTTGAATGCTGTGTTGTTTGCCTATACTGGATAGTAATGCACACAATGTTTCAATATAGATATCTCTCCTTTGTCGCAGCAAATAGAAAAAAACTTTATCCATAAATTCATAACTAAGCATATACTGTAAGAATAGGTGGCCAAAAAATCTGTAAAAAAAATTAAATTTCATAGCTGTTAGTATCATAAATTGTAAACGGGCTTCAAACATCAGTGAGGTGATAGATTATTTTTTGATTTATGTAGATTGCCAAACTTTAATTCTTCATATCTTCCAAACCAAGTACTTCCTCAAAGCCAACGACCACTCATTAGATGCAAAATACGATGGCAAAAAAGCTGGTTTTGGCTCGTTGGCGGTTTCAAAAGGGATATTGGGTCAATTATTGGTCAATGTAGATATTGGGTCAATACCTACGTTTCCTAGAGGTAAAAAAAAAAATGCTTTTCGAAACTAACGAAGTGGACATAACCTGACCTGAAGATGATATCTTGAAATTTTCACCTAAAAATACCTTAAATTATACAACTTTAGACAGTTTTAAGTGTAAACTAGACCTTGATATCTTCTATTGTTCCGAAAATATTGAGGTCCAAAGGATATTCTTTGACAGGTCTGAAAATTCAGAAAAAGATGGACTCAAGTTTGAGCAACCCATGCAAAAAGTTTAGAGAATACCTAGAGAAGGGGGGGGGGACGAAAATCTTCTTCTTTGGTTTTTAGGCTCAACTTTAAAAAATATTTGCCATTGAAAAGCTTTAAAATTCTCATTGAGCTAATATGATCTGCACTTTTCTGGCTCCATTTGTTGGCTCAAAAAAGGACAATGAACGACTTGCAGGACATCTTGTATCATTAATAACAAAATGGTAAGACTATGAATCAAAAGAAATATTAAAATATTTACGACAGATTACATTAACTTTCTTTTGTGAGGGATTTTCTGGTATAGTAATTTATGGGCAAGTATTAAAAAATTGACCATTGAAGTGTAGACTTCATTCTGTGAATCATTGAATAGATTATTTTCTGTAGCGAAATTTATAAGTTTTACCTGTAAAGACGCATCTGCTTCATCTTGACAATTTTTTCGTCTTCTCCCTCAGGTAAAGATGCCAGCTTTGTCCGTAATTTTGCCTAGAGAAAGCAAAGATGTGAATGACAGGGCACGGAGAGAGTTATTCAAAACAGATGAACCTTAGTAGTCATCTTTTTGATGTAGCTGCCCCAATACTACTAACACTAGATATTTATAAGGAAGATATAAAGGTTTTAAGATGCAGTTTGCTGACAATTTTGGCTTACAACTTATGGTCTCCTTTAAAAGATCAAAATAACCTCGTTTTGCGAAGATTTTAATAATTTTCAGCACTGCAATAAAAACTGTGTTGATTTTACACTCTCAAAATTCTAAAATGTACCATTGTTTTTTTTCAGTGTAGATGTTAGAGTGTTACACAGCTTACGCAATTTACATAAAATATGCGACAAGCAAAAAAAATATGGTAGATTTTACCATACACTAGCATGGTGATACAGGTATGGTAATAAACACCAGACTCTGTGGTAGCATTTACCATATTATGGTTAGTATCACCAGAGTTCTGGTGAATACTACCATAATTCTACTTATTTTCACTGAATATTATCACTGTGTAAAAAATCAAGTAGACTTACAGTAGATGCTACCATACTTTTTTTTCAGTGAGCAGGCTTTGTTCTTGGTTATTTTAGATCAGACACAGTCAAGATCACAAGAAAATTAATCTTACGGATTCCAATTTCATGATCCCAAAGCCCTCACCCACCCCCCACCCCTCTTGGGAACTGAAAAGGGGGTCCTAAATTTGAAACCGCGGTTCCCATCACAATATTGAAAGAATTTTATCAAAAATCGAATGCACCAAACATGTTGACCTCGTCCATTTCAATAAATGCAGGATTAGCCCAAACCTATTCAAGACATTGACTCCTGAAGTTGGGGGACAAAGCCACCCCCCCCCCCCCNCATTCTCGATGAAATATTAGGTCACTAAAGTAAATTGATGTAGAGGCCCAGAAAAAAAATGTTTCTGTAGATAATTGACTCCAAGAAGTCCGAAGCTGACAGTCCCAGAGCTTCCCCCCCCCCTCTCATTTTCTCATGCTCATGCTCATGCTCATTTATTGATTCATTTGCTCCTTACCTTTGCAAGGAAAGTTTGGCATGATAGAGAGGTGGACTCAGAAGACAGCAGGGATATATCCTCTATTACGACTTCAGTATTAAGAAATCAGTACTTAAATCGCCAACTCCTGACACAAACAAGAGCTCCATTTTCATGATCTATCACAAGTCGCATGCATAGTCAACAAAACCATACAAAAATCCAAAAAATATCTGATAAACATTTTGAGGCTCTAAACCTTTAAGTAAACTGTTGAATATTTGATTTAGTTGATTAACTTTGGATTGTTTTATTTGTTGAAATTGATTTTCCTACATATATCCAATATTTTACTTAGAAAAGTCTTTTAGATATATTTATTCATTCCAACTGTTTTTTAGCGTCATAGTGGATCCAGGTCAATTCATAATGATGCGTTGCAACAGATGGGAATTTCGGGCCCGCGTAAGCTTGGTCCGTGCGTGCGTCATTTAAGCAGTGCAGAGAATGCGCGCGTTGCGCTGCGGCGCGCCCGCTTTGCTCCTGATGTATCTCATTGCGCCCGCCATTCTTGGGTGTTTAACGGCTTTAGTATTGCAGATACGACCAAACGGACGAAACTTTTGCCCTGTAAACCTGTAACTCGGCGTTTCCCATGGGAAAACAGTGCTATTCTATCTAAAAACCTCAAATTTTAACCTGTGTCACTTAAGTCGTTTCAGCACCGGGTAAAAATCGTTATTAATTTTTTTCCTTGCACAAGGCTTCTAATCTATCGACACATCAACTTTTAAGACCAGGACCTCCTTCGAATTCGAAAATTGAAAAAATAAGAAATACCCTAGTGTAGTTGATATTTACGGTGAAACTTAAAATTAAAATAAATTCACCATAAATATTAATATTTCAGATGCTACTTGTCCAAAAATGTTTGTTTACCCTAGTGTAGGGCATCCTTGCTACCCCATCAAAAAAGCCCTGCGAGCTCCAGGACATCACAATCGGATTTCTTGGGATTAACTACCCATGAAAACACCTTTTTGCCTCACCTCCAAGTCTATTTAGTGGCCTAGCATTTTATCAGGGGAGCTCTATCCCCCAACTTTAGGGATCAATATTTCCGACAGAATCGGACCAATTTTAACATTTTTGTATTGATTGAGGTCGAAATGTTCTGATTTTCTTGATTTTGAGAAAATAATTTCAAAATTGAGACAGGGGCCCCGACTGGACTTTAAGTTTTTAGCAGCCTCACCTTTTCCAATTATAAAGGAGTACTTTATGGTGGAAGCACCCTTCATATCAGATGTTGATGTTATGCTATGATTTGTGCAAAAATCACAAACCTGGAAGGACAGCATTTGTTTGTGGAAATTTCAGGATATTTTAATGAATAAAATTTAGTAGAATTTTCAAAAAATACGATCAGATTTGGTATATAAGATGTCTATACCTGCCTGATTAAAGAATTGCAACCCTGAAAGTGCACAAACTGAGATTTAAATTAATCCTTCTTATGGTATTAATGATGACAAATCTACAACTGTCTTCTTTAAATAAGACTTCCTTTAAAAAGAAACACCAGAGGAAATTGTTTCAAAATTATATCTTGGACATAATATGTTCTCGTAATGTTTGCACTTTGGGGGTATTACCAAAAACATTGAATCATGTAGATAATGCATCCTCTGTTACGGAGAGCGAGACAACTACCAGAAATTCGCATGGCTCACCAACCGATGAGTGTCAGCACCAACCTTGCATCGATAAGTTCATGTGTCCCGATTGCGCACACCTGCACATGCGCATTGCGCAGTTGTGGCCCCAGTGAATTTTGTCAGATTGTGAGACTTTTTTCTGCATTGGTAATTAGTTTGAAAAAGTAAACTTCGCAATTCAATCTTCCCAAAAAATTAAAAGAACTCCAGCTCAGTCATCCTCCCATAATGGAGAAGCCCATGCCACAAAAGTGTAGCTTATTTTAGTCATGTTCAAATATTGATCAGATTCAGGTAGAAATCGATTCTATCTGTAAAGAAAGTAGGTTATCTAAAATTTGTGCCAATTTGGAAAGATTTTAGGTTCCTTTGCCGCCTTAATATTTTTGGAAAAAATCACATTGGTTCAAGGGGGAGCAGGGAACAGGCCAGTGGAAAGGACGAGAGGCTTCCCTCCTGGGAAAATGAAATTGAGATACTCACCCGTAGAGAGTTGTTATCATTATCTTTGCAGCTAGTTTTATTTGGTTTCCAGTTGAAAAAGTCAAACTTTTCGGAGCAGCATTCCTCGAGGAATGTCTGGAACCTATGATCGAAATCCCTCGTCAACTTTCTGCTTAGTGCGGCACAAGCAATACTGCATTCAGGATCGTTAATAGCCTGAAATAAAAAATTAACTTAGTCTTCACAAGTCACGGAATTAAAGCTGAGAATCCTTGTTATGGATAGATTATACTATTTCCTATTCTTAAAATTTGAAAGGAAATATTTTCAAATATTGATTAGAGCTAGGTGGAGGAGTATCAATAAGGGCTGTTATTTGGCCCATCTTAAATTTCCTCAATCCAACAATTTTTTGCTGATTAAAGGCGTAATTTCACAGAGTTACAGGAGTCCCCAAGGTCTCATGAGTCATCCTATTTATAACAGAAAATATGAATCGAACAAGCAAGAATTAACAAGAAAAGAGTCGCATCAAAAACTCTAACTTTCAAATTACCTTGATTTTAACAAAAAGAACAAATTTATTTCGGAAGCCTAACTGCTCCCATCTTCAGCGGGTGACAACTGAGGCGCTTGCAGCGCACCCTCAGTCAGATTCCGAAACTAGGACAGAGAGTAGCCGATCGTCCAGCCCTTCAAGATCCTCATTCATCAATCTAGCTCTCTTCTTGAATATGAAAATTTTCTTCAGCATGGGCAAATCAATTGGACAAAAAACTTCTTCTAAAAGCACAGGTTCTTCCTTGATCCTATGGGACTCTTGTTTTGCAACTGATGAGTTGTCAACTTCTCCCTTATTTATGTTTCTAAGATGTTCCTTGGCTCTAGTGATGATATTTCTCCTTGTCAAACCAAAATTAACTTTGTCACAATCTTGACATTCCATTTGATGAATGCCTGATTTCTTCAAATTAGGATTTTCATCCTTAAGATCTCCATGAAAGAATGATTTTATGTTAAACTTGTTGACCAGTGCCACATCTAAATTGAATTTTTTGTAAATTTTCTTGAACTTCTTGAAATTTGTCTTATTTGTTAAAATTAAGGTAATTTGAAAGTTAGAGTTTTTGATGCGACTCATTTCTTCTTCATCTGCATTTTTAAAGTTTGTAATCTCGTATAAAAGTCAAAAAAAAAGAGGTAAGAATTAGTTGGATCGATGATAAATTGTACCACTTTTCCTATACTTATCTATCAACATCGATTTTTCAATGAGGAAACTAAAAAAAATTTTGAAACTCATTAACTCAACACTAAGTGCAAACCTTTTGGATGATGGTATCAGCAAGTCTCCACGAATCACATTTACTTTTTATGAATTTCTTAGCCACAACATCCACAATTTCTTCGTCAAATGGGATCAGCTGGTTTACTAAGGCTGTGGAATCATTTTCCAGCTGAAAGCAATACAAAATCACAATAAAAATGCATCCAGAAAACATTTCCTTTTACGAATAAATCTATATGGGGACATTTATCTTGGCACAAATGGACTTCATGGTTAGAGAAATGTATTTTTTTTACAGCGCTTGCAACAAGCGAGCTGCATTTATGACTCACGTTAAACTATGTGCATTGTGTAGGAATGAGACTCTCCTATCCGTCTGCATGCTTTAATCACTGGCTCTGAGCTGCCGAATCGGTTTCAGTTTATTCTAGCCGCACACTTCTCCCTCACTTCATACGACACTTTTTAATTTTGTTCACAATTAGTTTCTGATCATTATAGTCTGAAAAGACAAATGTTGACCTATTTCTCATCAAAATAATTTTTAGAATACCTGTGACTTCAAGTTTTCCTGCCAAAATGGCCTCCAACTTTTTCACTGTACCTAATGGAGACCCTTAGGTAAAAAAAAGTTTCACACCTGTTGCCAACTTTGCCATATTGTAGAGATTCGAGTTGAAATTTCTTTCCCAAATGTATGAGGAGTCCACTAAAATGGTTTCAAAACTGTATGTTTAAAGATGCCTAATTGTATGATTTGAGTTAGTTTAGTTTCAGGTAAAACAAGCTGATAAAGTTTCACTGTCAGTATTTTTGCATCACTTGCATGCAACGTGTGTCATTTTCATTTATTTAAAGCTGAAAGTTCTATGTAGTCTAATATGGCTGAGCTGATAAGAGATCGATAATCCAGTGGCCATAGTATGCTTATGAGGGTAACTCTACTTTTATCCAAGGTAAGTGAAAGGAAAGTATGGTCTCTTGCCATCCGAGAGCTCTTGACTTTGAGGTAAAAAAAATTTCATTCGAACTATATTTTGATTTTGAACTTCTGACAAACTGAGAAACATCCCTGAATTAATTTTTCCTGCGATCATCTGAGATCCTGCGACCACCTACGCCTATGTTAAGGTGTCAAACTACATCAAAATTGTCCGCAGAGCTTGCAATACAGCATCATCAAGTACAAACCTAACAATGACAGTGAGGTCATGTGCATGAAGAACTATAAAGATAATTTTGTCAACAACATACAAACTTGCTCGTAGAGTCATAAACTTTATGGGACATGGATGTTCAGAGATCCCTGTCAATCAGGGTTTCCCCTGCAAAAATGGCTGCTGTATGTTCCATGCCTCAAAAAATTCATAAGCATAAAAGATAACAAAAGGCTCCATAGACTTTTTGACAATTCATAAACTCACAAATTGAAACAATATTTTTCTTTGTTGACACAGTGTTGTTGTTGTTGACAGATACAGACTCAGTGTCCTTTTTAAATAAAGCAATTAAATGAAATAATGCCTTGCATTATGATAAAGAAAGTATTTTACATTAATTTTTGGAAAAACATTTTTTGTTTTATTTTTACTTGAAAGATTCAGCATTTTCAGTCTCTGATATTTTTTGACCCGAAAAGAAGGATTTAAAACAAGCTACAGTTTACTATGGACAGAAATATGTGTTCACATTAATATCAAGCCATTAACATTACCATTAAGCTCTAACATGTTCAACTTTGAGATTGACCTTTGGTTGCATAATTCTATCTCTCATTTATGTACCTCTGGGAAGAAAGTGAATTCTCCAATGCTGTTCCCTCAAAACTTGTTCTTTGCTGATGTCTCCTTTTCCCGGCAATGTATTTAAATGTTGAACTCTGTTGCAAACGTTTTCTTATGAATTCACGGAGATTGTACACTTTTAGAGTGTGACAGAAGGGCAGCTGTCTTCAGTTTAGTGTTAAAAGTGAATGCAACAATCATGATGGATGGCTGATTTTTTGTCTTACTCTCAAAGAGATTAAACAAACTTATTTGGCATGGATTCTAAAATGCATTAAGTCTACCCAGCAGTTTATTGGAAGTATTGAGAGATAGGTACTGTACGTCTAGTATATTTAATCAGTTACCATAGCGATATTGTTGGAACATTGGCTTGCAAAACGAATAGTGACTCATGGGTTACTTTGAGAAGACATTGTCACAACGTCAGTTCGCAATATTGCAGCCACACCTTGCAATGTTGCTGCCACACGGGCTTTTTGGGCACGGTGTCCCATTTGAACGACTTAATAAAATAAAGACAGGATACAGGCTCTGAGACCTGAATTTTAAGGCTTACGGCTTCTGGTAGGTTTGGCAGTGTAGTTTGGGTACTGGACTCCTTCCTCAAGTGCTCTGTGGTTGGCAATGGTGACTCTAAACCAGGTGTTGTGGCAGGATTTGCATGCTCCTTTTCTGCAGGAGCTTTGGTTGCTTTGGATTCTGGAGGAAATTATTGAATTTGAGGGATGAAAATGAAAAAATAAAATCGAAGTGATACAAAAAATATTGAAAGGCCATACAAAATACCTGGCAAGATTGTTAGCTTACTGAAAAATAACCCTGCAAATTCAATGCTAGAAATATAGGTACTGTAAAAAAACCTGATCGACTGGTTATTTTCGACCAGCATAAACTGGTTGGTATAATATTTGGGCCGAAATTCAACCTTAAAAGTAACAGTAAACTTCATGAATTTTCAACCTTTAGATCATGCAGGCCAGTTTTTAAAACTTTCTTGTAAAGTTAGCAAGATAGAGACACAGCACTTCATGCTCCATGTAATACATTGAATTTCAATGTCTTGTCGTCCTGTCATACTGCCGTGCTAAGGAAGAACGCCGTAAGAGCCTTTAGACGTTGCCAAGTTTCCTTCGATAAAAACCGAATTTACGGGAAATATTCTTAATATTTTCCCTTCAATTTTTCAGAGAATTTTCTTTGCGATTTAATCTAAAATATCTGAAAATTTCAAGGAAAAATATGCTAGACTTTCTTCAAAAATGCATGTTTTATCAAGGGAAATTTGGCAACTCTCAAATGTTCACACGGCGTTCTTCCTTAGCACAGCAGCGTAGGTTTCAACAATCAGCCCCCTACCTGTTTGAAATAGACTGGAGACCTGAGCTGAGAGTTTTGAACATACATCAATTTTTAGTCAACCCATTACACCATCATTTAAGTACAAAAAGAAAACAAGAGCCGCAATATAAATTGTGGCCCGAGTGGCATTCCCTGCTTTTGCAAGTCCTCTCTGATCGGCTGATCTGCCTGGTGCCTTTATTGAAAATAACACAGGGTTCATGTTTCATCTAAAATGTCTCAAAATCAAGGGAAAAATTATGCATCAGATATACCTAATATAAATTTTCCCGATTTTTCTGACAAAGATATTGATGGATAGGCGATACATTAAAATTTTTGCTTGAACACTTGGAACAGCTTGACCTTGAATTTCTTATTTCATGACAAGCGTTATATTTCAAGATAGAAAAAAAAAAATCCAGGGCCAGCTGTTACTTGGGTGTATTTGAGAAAAAAGTGTCATATATGTTACTCATCAATATCTTCAGAAAAAATCTGGAAAATTAATTTCTAAAATTCCCCATGCATAAATTTTTCCTTGGTTTTGAGATATTTTAGGGGGAAAATGGACCCCATATTATTTTCCATGAAGACCCCAGGCAGATTGGCCAAACTCGTTAAAATAGGGGGTGCCACTTAGCCCACAATTCATATTGCCTACGGCTCTTGCTTCCTCTTTGTTTACGAAACTCATCGGTCATTTAGAAGGTGAAGATGACCAAAAAATATAGATGACATCATCCATCATAGTGTTGATTTGCTTAAAAGAAAACGAAACCATCTATGAGGCCTCGATACACGATCAAATTCCCGCACCAATTACCATCAAAGTGTCGTGAGTCATCAGTCTTAAAATCGATACTTCACCTAATTTACACATGAAAACATGGCAGAAATATTACATGTGGCAAGAAATGATGAATGGTGGCACTCCATTCTGATTAAAATTTGACGGCCCGTCCAATTTAGAGTACCTATATTGAGAGAGTATGGCCACTGGAGTTACCACCTCTGATTGGCTCAGCCATCTTAGGCTGAATGAAGCCCTTAGGACCCAAAAATGGCGGACGCCATAAAGTTAATGTAATGCAGAATGATTCAAAATGTAGTTGTCTTTGCTTATTGTAACAAGAACTTTACCCAAATGCACTATTGCGACTTTTTTACATATTTTTAAGGCTAATCGTGTGCAATTTTTGAGAAAAATGATCTTGGATGTAGTAAGGTTGGCAGCAAGTGCGGTTGGTGATAACCGTCAAAAGTTGGCAATGACCCCCCTCCCATCCTCAAAAACCAAAACAAAGCACCGCCATTTTTGGGTCCTAAGCATCTCCATGGGACCCAGTGGCCATACTCTCTTAAGGTGATTCGTCACGATCCGAATGGCGCTAGTTCGTGGCGCTGCCACCACGTCGCGCTGCTAAATGACAGCCACTTTAGGAACGATTTTATAGCAAATGCGATAAAATTATTCAAAAAGAGAGACGATAGCCCCTCCCAGCATACATCATACGCAAGCAAAAAAAAATTTATACTTTGAAAGTCAGAAATAAGTTTACTAGAACGTTTGGAAACAATCGTTCCATAACAGACAATGAGTACGAGAGAAACGGTTAGCGAGAGCGAGACAGAGGAACGGTGACGGTTGGCATGGTAACCATGTTGTTTACTGAGCGCACGACGGTCTTCAAGGTCACACACCGCTTCCCCTGCATCCCGCACCGCTGCCGTCGCGACTTGTCCTGGACTCTCGTCTTGTCAGAATTTCCTTTTCAACTCTCTCGCGTCGCACTGAGCACTGAGCAACCGGCGCGCGCCATTCGTCCTAGCCGTTGGCCAGACAGCGTGGCGCGCCATTCAAATTGACGGCTCCGCCACCTTACGCCCGCATTTCCATTTCCACGTTTCGATAGACTTATCCCCTTGTTCTCACACTCTTTTTTTATGATTTTTATTGACATTTTTGGGTTTGTTTCTGACTCTTGACCCGTGCAGGGATATTTTTTTTTTTTTTTAAAAAAAGGTAGAATTTTATTTTGGTCCAATATTGAGTTGAAATACGATTTGTAGAGATTAGGATAGAACGTTAATATGCCTTGGGATTTTTTTAAATAATAATAAATTTACATTTGAAATATTAAAATAAAATAAAATTTAAGGGAGAAAATACACCTATGACACTTGACGACCTTACAGGTCTAGGGCCTTTTGATTACGACAATTTTCCGTTTGCAATGCTGCCCTCATCCCCATTTTATGACTGATTCTTTGCTTGGCATTAGACTGATTCGAGTTTTCTTCATTATTATACTATATCAGACATTTCACTGAAAATTATTTTTAAGTTTTCAGGATGAGCAGATTTTTTCCATTAACGATTTCACTGTCCATTATTTTTTGTAAATAAATTATGAAAAAATAATTGTTTTTTTTTCTTCTTCCCCACCAGATATCTGTTATACAAGTACTACTGTTATTGCATGTATTTAAGAAGTAGGCAACGCACGTTTGCCGTTTGCGCCCTCTCATATTTTCAAGGGCTTTGTCATCTAATAATTCCTCCTTCCTAAGATAGTAAATTTTCACATTTCGTAAAATATATTTCCCGGTTTTCTTCATGGGCGTAGCTAGGGGGGTCTTGGGGGGGGGGGGGGGG